CATTTGCAGCCCCAGTGTTTTCGGAAGAAAAAGGATGGGGGGTTGCGGCTATGCACGGATTACCGGGGCATAAATGCTGTTTCTTCGACTAATGCCTACCCGATGCCATTAATAAAGGATCTCTTAGCCGAGGCAGCTAAGGGGAATTTTTTTTCAAAATTGGACCTCAGAGACGCGTACTTCCGAGTGCACATTAAAGAGGGGGATGAATACAAGACGGCATTCAAAACCCCCCTAGGACAGTTCAAGTATAAAGTCATGCCATTTGGGCTCCAGGGGGCGCCCGGAGTTTTTATGAACTTGATTAATGAGGTTTTACACAAACATTTGTTTAAAGGGGCGCTGGTTTATCTAGATGATATCTTGCTTTACTCCCCAGGCAAGCCCTCCCATGTGAAACTGGTGCACAAGCACAAACTCTTTGCAAAGTTATCCAAATGTGAGCTTCACCAGACACAGATCGATTTTTTTGGGTACCGCATTTCACAGAAGGGGCTGGAGATGGACCCGGGGAAAGTGAAAGATGTTTGGGGGTGGAAAGCTTCCCGCACACACAGGCAACTCTAGTCCTTCCTCGGTTTCGCGAATTTTTACCGCAATTTTCTCCCCAACTTTGCCCAAGTGAGCTTACCACTCACAGATTTGTTAAAGACTAAGGGGAAACCGGGGGCTAAACTGGTGTGGACAGCGGAATGCCAGAAGGCATTCGACCGGCTCAAGGCTCTTTTCACTTCCGAGCCTGTGCTGGCCCATCCCAATAAAAATAAGAAGTTTGTGGTCCAGGTGGACGAGTCAGATGTCGCTATGGGGGGGGGCATCCTCCAAGAGGGGGAGGATGGACACCTCCACTCCCTGGCATATGTGTCCCGCAAGTTTAATGACACTGAGCGCAACTGGTCTGTGTGGGACAAGGAAGCTGGCGCCATCTGGTTAGCCTTGTCTTCGTGGTGCCATTGGTTGGAGGGGGCGAGGGTCCCATTTGAAGTGTGGACGGGCCATAAAAACTTAGAGGTGCTCCGGACGCCCAGAAACCTGAACGCTAAACAACTGCGGTGGGCTGATTTTTTCTCTAAGTTCCAATTCACCCTCCACCATTTCCCAGGGAAATCAAATCCGTTGGCTGATGCATTTTCCCGCCTCTCGCAACATGACAGCCAGAGGGAGGAGGTACTGCACTCAATGTTCACGCCCTCCCAGCTGGGAGGAGCGGTCACTATGCGCAGTCAAAGCCATGCCTCCTTTCCTCCCGATGATGTCTCCCCTTGGGTGAGCAAATTCATTTCCGCCTTCAATGACTCTGACCAACAAGAGCTTGAAAATGAGGAGGCGGTAGAACAACACAATGATGGCTGTTGGTATCGCAGCCATCAACTGTTTGTTCTGAAAGTACTGTGGGGAGAAATCATGGCCACGGTGCACAGGACTAAGACAGTTGGCCATTTTGGGTTTGTAAAATCTTTGCATTTACTCCAATGCCAGTTTTGGTGGCTGGGCATGAGAAAGGACTTGTCACTTTTTGTGCACTCATGCCAAATGTGTATCATGTGCAAACCTCGGCCTGGTAAGCTGCCAGGACTCTTACAACCTTTGCCCACTCCTAGACAGCCATGGGAAGTTATCTCGATGAATTTTATAACTGACTTGCCCCCTAGTCGAAACATGTCTGTAATTTGGGTAGTGGTGGACTTGTTTTCTAAACAGGGACATTTTGTCCCATTTGGGGGGTTGCCCACAGCTAAGATCCTGGCCAAAGTGTTCATCCAGCACATTTTCAGACTCCACACTTTACCGAGCAAAATCGTCTCCGACCGTGGCTCTCAATTCGTTTCTAAGTTCTGGGAGGAATTAATGCGGTTGATGGGGATTGAGAGGGGCCTCAGTAGCGCGTATCATCCAGAGACTGACGGCCAATCTGAACAAGTGAACCAAACCTTGGAACAGTACCGCCGTTGTTTTACTAACTTTCAACAGAATGATTGGGTCGATCCACTTCCATTGGCTGAATTTTGTTATAACAACGCCTGTCATTCTTCCACGGGGTCTCGCCTTTCATGGCAGTGTATGGCTACAAGAGTCCCCCTTTACCGTTTCTGGCTAAGCCTCCCGATAGTCCAAAGGCGGGCTTGGCTGGGGACTGGTGCAAGACCCTGCAGGAATCTTGGCCGATCTTGTGCAAAACTTTGGATGCGGCCAAAGAGGCGTATAAGAAACAGGCTGACAAGAAAAGGGTTGGGATATTCAGCCTGGAGACTCGGTGTATGTATCAACTAAGAACATGAAGTGTTTGCAGCCTAGCAGGAAATTGGGCTGGAAGTATATTGGACCATTTAAAATGTTGCGTAAAAAGAACGTGTCTGTCGAATTGGAATTACCAAAAACATTGCGACAGATACACTCTGTTTTCCACTTCAGCTTATTAAAAAAAGACCCTGGTCCTATTGTTTGGCGCCCTGACGTTGTGATGCCTCCCCCCCTTCTGGTGGATGGTGAACTGCACTTTGAAGTGTCCCACATTTTGGACTCAAAAGTGAAACGCAATAAACTCTTTTATCTGGTGGAGTGGAAAGACTTTGGTCCCCAGCACCGGGTATGGGTGGAAGTAGGGGATATTCGGGCCCCTGACCTTATTCGTGCATTCCATGAGGAGTTTCTGGGGAAACCGAGAGAATCTCCCGGGTAGTCTGGGAGAAGTTTTTTTTGGGGGGCAGGACATCAGTAAACTGCCATTTGTATTCTGGGTATGCTCTGTGTAACCTGCCTGCTATATGATGGGGGGGGGGGACTAGCCTGCATTTCGCAGTTCTCATCTTCCAAGCGCTTTGCCGTTTGTTTTGACTTTGGAATGTTATGCTGCCTTTGTAGTTGATAAGAATGTGAGAACTGTTGCTGTGGCCGTTCCCAATCTAGCCGGTGTGAACCAAACGGCTGACAGCTATCTCCCGCCTTGGGTTTCTCCCGCTCGAATTCCTACTGAGCGCAAACTGTATTCATTGGCTTACCTTTACTGTTTGAACTGCCTGTATCTGTAGACGCTTGGCTTTAAGTTTCATTCCTGACAATGACCATGAAAGTGTCTCAATAGTGACTTGTAATAAAGCAACCTATTCTTATGAATCATTATGGACTGCAACTGCTCTATTGAACCTGACAGTGAATCACATCCAGGTCTGTTCACTAAAGTAAGACTTATCTGATCAGCAGCAAACCGCAATCCCATTAAAAAGTGCTTTATTTCTTTGTCTGTGTCTAGTGTGTCCAGAAGAATCTTAAAGTGTTTTCTTCTGCGATCCGGAGTCATGCATTTTGTGCAACTAAAAGTGGAGAGGTCTATTCTTCTCTTGATGTGTGGGGAATCCCTGAACACCAAGGGAAGAACATATCCTTAAGGGTTAAAGGAGGGAACATGTTTTTATCTCATCACAGGCACAATTGTTTCCTGTGGCTCTTTTGAAAAACAAGGAACTGATTTACATTCACTATCAAGAAGGCCAATTACAACTGTTCAATTACCACTTTAAAACTGGAAACTGAGTTACACCGACATCTGTTTCACCCCTGTATTTTTTCCCTCCCTCAAGGAATGCAAAGCCCATAGGGCAGGGGTTCCCAACCCTTTTAAGCCTGTGGGCACATTTGAAATTCTGACATGGTTTGGTGGGTGCAGCAAAAAAATGGCTGTCACAAAATGGCTGCCACAGGAGGTGGGCCAGCCACAAAATGACTGCCACAGCTTAACTTTAGCCACACAGTGTAGATCCCTGTGCTGTGGTGGAAGCTGCTGCCAAAGCAACATTTAAAAAAACCCACAAAGTCAATCAAATCTCCAATAGCCAATCAGAAGCCTTGCTGGGCAAAAGCCCTGCCTGGGCCCACCCATTTCCTGAAAACACTCGGCAGGTGTCAGAAAAGGTGTCGGTGGGTGCCACTGCACCCACAGGCACCATGTTAGGGACCCCTGGCATAGGGGATCATACTTTCTTTGCCATATTCAGGCCACGCCTGTTGTCTGTCAGTTGCCCACAGTTTTCTATGGACAGGGCGGGCAAAGCTGGCCCAAGATATCTGACTACCCAAACAGTCTGCCGCACACGAACCAGGAGAAGATGTCTAGGGCCCCCTTCTGCACTGCTGGCCCTGAGACTGCCACAGCTGTCCACAGTGAAGGGTGAGTGAAAAGGACATCTTGCAAGGAATCCTGGGAGGTTGTGCACTCACATCCGGAGGCTCACCTACTGGGCCTTGCACAAGAGTGCAGAGTTGGTCCCATCTCGGTGCTCAACAATCTCAGGCAGTATTGAAACAGGTGGAATCTATCGAGGGGTCGACTCTGTTTTACCAATGGTATCTTATCGAGAGGGCTTCTTGATGTGGGAAGAGGGTATGGGGGAAACCTAGAACGTTGGATGGCCACCATTTGGAAGTAGGTCTGGACAGCCTAATATCCGGCGTGCTTTCTCTGACCTCCCCCCCCCCCCCCCTCCAGCACTAGCTGGAGACTAAAGGCAGCATTTTGCTAAAAAGAGAAGCGAAATGGAGGCTGGAGCACTGTCATGTACCCCAGAAATCAACGTTACGAGGATACGAGGACTGGGCATCAGACACATCCACATCAGACACATCCAGATCCTCCCTCCCTCAACATCATCAAATATCTCCTTGTAATCATATTGCAGAAGCAATTTCCAGCTAGCCAGATCCAATCAGCTTTGCTCTCTGTTTCATGACAACACCCGTTTGGCTCCCCAGCAGGGGGACCGGCGTAGTAAACCATTCCTTCTGCAACGCGTGTTTGTCTTCCAAGCCTCTTGGGATCGCTTTTGCCTCGTGGGTGAGACAGGCAGGCCTGGGGGCTTCCGCTTTGTGGCCGCAGGTTCCTCTGTCGTTTTCCATGAGAGCAACTGGTCGGAATGGCCGTGGTGGCACAGGAGTCAACCTGGGCAGGTACTTCCCACCCCAAGAGATGCATTCGAGAAGAGCGGCACTTAGAAAACAAAACCTACCTTGCGTTAATGAGGTACTGTGCTAGGCTGATGTTTGCAGGTGATCCCGTGATTGTTACTTGCCGTTCCGCCGAGCCTTCTGTGGCATTTGCAATCTTGATCTGAGCTCCTGACATCTGCCTGATTTCGTTTATCTTGCTGCCTTGTCTGCCAATAATGCACCCTATTAACTAGAGTGGAACGGAGAGAGAGAGAGAGAGAGAGAGAGAGAGAGAGAGAGAGAGAGAGAGAGAGAGAGAGAGTTGAGGGCAAAAAGACCAAATCGGGCAGAAACGATCTAACGCCAGTCAGATGGCTCATCTCAATGCGGATGTCATTCAAGCACCACTGGACAAGATGGCTGGCCAAAGTCTGATCCAGAGCAGGGGTCCCAAACCCTTTCAAGCCTTTTGGAATTCTGATACAGTGTGGTAGGCATAGCCACAAAACGGCTGTCGCAGGAGGGACAGCCAATCATAAAATGGCTGCTACAGCTTCCCCCCAGTCACAGTGAAGATCCTTGTGCTGCAATGGCAGCTGCCGCCAAAGAGACATGGGGGGGGTATTTTTTTGTTTTTTCCCCCTATGTGCATGTGTGTGCATGCACCTGAAAGTCATGGCGACCTCTGGTGACTGACCCCTAATGGGGGCCTGGAGGATATTCAGAGAGGTGGCTGAATAAAGCCTGCCCCCCCCTCCCGACTGCTGGTACTCCAAGGAGGTCTCCCATCCAAGTCCTTGCCAGAGTCGACCCCGCTTAGCTTCTGAGATCGGGCTTGCCTCGGCTATCCAGGTCAGGGCGCCAAAGCAACATTTTAAAAGATCTGTACAGCCAATCAAATCTCCGTTGGCCCACCAGAAGCCCTGCTGGGCAGAAGGCCCACCAGTCCTCGCCAACTTTCAAAAGACACTTGACAGCAATGTTCCCTCTAAGCTGTGGAGTCCTGTGAGCAAAAATTCCACTTTGGGACCTCCTAGTATTCAAGTTGTGAGCGAGCAATTTGGCTACTGCATAAATTAGTTGGCTCTGGAGCCCTCCTTCCTGAGCAAAGACAAAAATGTGTGAGCCAGAGGCTAAGAAGCTGTGAGCTAGCGCACACTAACTCAGCTTAGAGGGAACCCTGCTTGACAGATACCAGGAAAGGTGTTGGTGGATGCCACGGCACCCCCAGGCACCACACCGGGGGCTCCTGGTCTAGATCATACAATCGTCATGGGGAGATTTCTGTTTCCACTCGATATACTTGTCCATCCAAAGGGACACCACATGCATTTGTCACGTTGTGCTGGAAGCCTGACATTTCAGGAATCCACATCCCCCCAAGAATTCCATGATGCGTCATGTGTTCCCTCTTATAGCCTGTGGGAATTATCAGACTGTTTGCATTATGCTTCCAGGAATGACACGTTTAGTCTTCACTGGCCACTGAGTTCTGATTCCAAACCGTTTGAAAGAATGGAGACTACCTAGCCGACTGGTGTATCTGCAGTTCTCCCTCAGTCCACAGCCAGTCTTGGTTTTCTGAGCATGTCTGTGTGACAGCCACATTTGCAAACTTGGGTTTGTCATACACACACTTTACAAGTTATAACGAAAAGCTGAAGATAAGTTTAGTGGACACGTACAAATGTAACCATCTCAGTCCAACTGTACGGCTGCCAAGGTGGCTTTGCAGAGCCCACTTATCATGCCAATCCACAGGTCGGGAAAGAGGGAGGGTAGCAGGTGAAACTAAATCCAGATCCCAGATTTCCATGTCTGAATTGCACCACTGCTAACTTTCTGATGGGACTTCACATGCACAGCCCAAGCAGTTGGGCAGGGGGCGAAGTGGAAACTGCCCATAAAGCACCTTTTTGCATGTGGGTTCTTTATCCAGCTAGGGGATACCCTGTATGCAGCACCTTCTATAGTGGCTCTATGGCAGAGCATCTGCTCTGCATGCAGAAAATTCCAGGTTCAGTCCCTCGCATCCGGCAGATTATGGTCAGGAGTCACGTGGAGTATGCAGATTACTCCCATTTTGCAGCCACTCTACTGGTTACCGATTCGCTTCTGGTTTCAACTGAAGGTACCAGTCACCACCTACAAAACCCTTGAATGCATGAAGCGGCCTTATACCGAATGAGACCACCGGTTCACCGAGGTCAGTATCGTCTACTCAGACTGGCTCTCCAGGTTCTCAGGCTGTGGTCTTCCACATCCATCTGCTACCAGGTCCTTTCAACTGGAGCTGGGACCTTCTGCATGCCAAGCAGGTATTCTGCCACTGATCCCTCAATCTGTCTCAGCCCTTCCCTGTCATGGCCCACAACCCATTTATCTACAGGACTGCCTCTCTCGATATGTCCCATGGAGACAGCTTTGTTCATTTGAGTAAGGCCTCCTGAAAACACCAGGCTGCAAAGGGGTCAGCTCAACATCTGCTCCTACATAAGGACCAATCCACAGGTCTATTGGTCAATTTCCCACTCGAAGCCGTGTGGCCACGTTTTGACCCATGGCTTCGCCCGATTTTCCCTGCAGTTTCGTGATCCTGTTTTTTGAGGATCATGAAACCGCGGGGGAAATCGGGCGAAGCTGCAGGTCAAAACATGGCCGCGCGGTTTCAAGTGGGAAATTGACCAATAGAAGCGGGGGAAAGGGACACGCGACCATGGCGCAGCTCTTGTGTGAAATCGGTCAAGCTTTCTTGGTTGTGGATCCTGCCCAGTGAAATAACCTGCCCAATGAGGTAAGGAAGCTCCCCCCCCCCCCATTTTTATCATTCTGTATAATACAGAACTGTTCAGGGGGGCTTTTTATAAAGGGAACAGGGTCACAGTTAAGGTCTGTGAAATTTTAGATAGCTTTGCAGTGATTAACTGTTGCTCTATTCCTCTGATTTCGTAATCCAGGGTTGTGGCACTGTTGTTTCTGCTATACTATTTTAGTGGGTTGTGCTCTGGTTTTGCAATCCAGCTCTATGGCATTGTTGGCTGTATGTATGTATGGCATCGTTTTTAATTGTGTCATATGCATTGAGTCTCAGTAAGAAAGGTGGTCTATGAATGAAGTAAGGGGGTGTGGCTCAGTAGATTAGGACAACTGCTCTGAGTTCAAAGCTGAGGTGACTTTTCAGTTGGTTCCCCCCCCCCTCACTCTGCTAGATCAAGTTTAACGGCATTACTATATATCTAAGTGGAGCTGAGATTTTGCATTTCCTTGAATGGCAGAGACGTTGTAATAAGAGAACTTTTAAGTGCGCTTACATCATTTGGAATGGTGAGCTCATGAGAACTGGTTGGAGTACTGGCATCCAATCCTAGATTGGAAGGACAAAAGAGAAAGAAACGTTAGGACAGTCGTTTTCAAATATGAGGGGGAAAAGCCATGTAGCATTCAGAAGAAAACTAAAACAAAAAAGTGGAGCAAAGAAAAAAATACTGAACAGCTAGCTCAACAGAAGAGAAAGCTAGAGACACAGGTATTAGCGCTAGGTACTAGTCTTAACTTAAAAAAAGAGCTCTCGGAGCTCATTAGCATAACTCATTAGCATAACTTATTTGCATATGCCACGCCCCCTGACATCACCGGAAGTGACAGAAGGCCACACCCCCTGACATCACCGGAAGTGTGTCAGAAGGCCCGGCTACTTACCCTCCTGCTTCATCCTCATTCCCAAACGGAATGAGGATCGAAGCAGAGGGCGGGGTAAAGAAGGGGGCGGGGCTTCACCACGTGACCGCCCCGCCCCCAAGAGGTTCTCTTCCGGAGCTCCGTACCTGAGAGCTCCCCCCCGACTAGAGCCCTGGCGCTAGGTACTAATTGGAACTTAAAAAAAAAGACCTTAAATCCACCAATAGAACAGAAGAGTGTCTGTGATGCTACTGAAAAGTAAATAGAGAATGGGCACTTTCACTTAGCCTTAAAAATCTGAAATCTGACAATTTGCAGTCAAAAGTAAACACGCGGCTCAAATTTGGTCCACCGGAAAATAAAAATAGAAATCTAAGGTCACCAAAAGGACTTGTAGAAACTGATAAAATATAAAAATATGGGTGAGGGAAACTAGGCAAACTATGAAGTTATATAGGGGATTAGTCACTTGGCAGGATCACTGGGAAGAGGGGTGCTTTCAAGGGGAAAGTACGAAATAACCATTAGGTTGCAATATGCTAGACTAAATTTGGATGGATAAAAGGAAGTGCACAGGAAAAAAAATGCAATTAGTGTGTTAACGTTCAAAATTACAGATCCACACATTCCACAACAGTACAAGGAACAGACCAAGGAGCAGCATGTTAATGAAAAGGAGTGAGTGAGAACGCAATGCTTCTCGGAGACATTTTTATCAAATACACCATATAGTGAGGCCAGTGAGTGATACTACGCTCTTGTTAATTTTTTGAGTACAAGTACTTTAAAAATTGAAGGATTTTCGGCACAACTAATACTTGAACTGATTAAAATTAGAATCTGTTCTCTTTCACAGTCTGTAAGCCTCCTGCTAGCAGATTTCCTGAGCACTGTGTACTCCAGATGGTAAACAACTAACTATTTTGATGTATGTGATAAAAATATTATTACTTGCCAAACAGAGTATGTACCAGTGTGTGGAGCTCGTCTTCTGGAAATCACCAGCTGTGTCATTGCTCTGAACCAAACTTCTCTGAGTGGCCAACTAAGGCACACTGCAAATACGCTTTGTAATTATATATATCTATATCTATATGGATATAAAACAACACTGTGGAAAGTTTCTACAGTTTGAAAAGTTTGCTCCGTCATTCAGAGGAAAGAAGGCATTCCAGTGAATGAAAGGTTATAGAAATTCAATAAGAATTCAAGACAGGACAAAAATAAAACACTGTTTCCCATAACTGAATGTCACCGTTCTCTGATAGGCTACACTGATATGGGACTTTCCCCAAAACATACAACTTCGACAGCCCAGCGACTGCAGGCACACGGTACGTCCTCTGTCGTGCAAAGTAATGTCTGATGCCTGGAGGGGGAAAAACAACAACACAGCACAACAACCCCAGTTCTAAAATTGGTGGTAAAATAAAGGGTGAAGCACAAGAAAACCAGAACAAAGCCAACACTTTTTAGTAATGACAAAGGCAATCTTACAAAGGGAGCCACAAGGGGGGACGGGGGACAACAACGACAAAGAAGGAAGATTAATATATGAAACGCAAAAGGAGCAGATGGTCATTCACATCATTTGGCGACCCAAATGTTGCAATGACCATAGGGAACAGAGAGGCGTTAAGAAGAAGGACATCCCCAGGGAGTCACGGGTACGTACCGGGGAAACCAGGGGTGGTCTGCCCAAGGGGAGTAAAGGGGGGATGCTGCATAGCCAACTGGTGAAGCTTGGTCAACTGCAGGGGGCAGGATGGGAAATTAGAACTAACCAATCAAATGGAATTATTTCAGAGTAGAGAGAGAGAAAAAACCATCTTAACACGTTTTCAAAACTGGATTAATTAAAATTAAACAAAAAATATATATAAAGTCTTAAAAAATCATTCATTCTAATTCTAATCTATCAAAAGAAATAGGTTCACAATGACATTTCAACAGTTATTACATGTAAATGGCTACTGTTAAGGCATTTTTAACTACCGTTCTGCATCATAATATATATTAAAAATTCAAATACATAACATGCATAAGAGAAAGAAAACAAAAAAGGGAATTTGTATCTGGGCCACTCTGGCTTTCCAAGCTGGTCTTAAGATAAAAGTTATCAGTAACGCTTGCATTCGGCTACACGATACACCACTCGGGAGAGCCATCCCTGGATGTTTCCTTAGACAGCTAAATACGCGGAAAGTCCATGGCACCCAGAACAAATAGAAGAGAAAACAGAAGATAGGAAGTAATTTGCATGCATTGGACTCACATCTGGATGAGGGATCGCGTACTGCCCCTGAATGGTAAAGGCCTGTGAATGACAGAGAGGGAGGGAGGGAGGGAGGGAGAGATTAAAGTCCCTTTGCGGCCATTTTGGGGGAAGGGTGGAGCTTTGTCACCATTTTAGAGAGCACTGGTATCACATCCTCAACGCAGACTCAGACTTGAATGCCCCAATCCAGAGAGTTTGGATTCTCTGTTTTGCAGGCCTGCCCACGGGGATTCTGGATTTTGTAACAGCAGACGCCCCTTAACATGGAGGCTGCATCGCAAACTGCTTTTGAAAGCCACCTGGGCTTCAAAAATGGTTTGCCATACAGACAGTGAGGAAAAGAGCTGCTGGCTGAGCGGAACAGAAGCTCTCAAGTCCGCTCAGTTGCAGAGATCTGAATGCACCTTCTTCTGGATCCCAGTCACGGAGTGCTGGCACCATTTGTTTTAATCTAGCGAGTCTCAGCGTTTCTATTGGAAGGTCTCCATCCATAAAGAAATATGCAATTCCATACGATGTACCATATTGATAAGGCTGCCAGTTCTAGGTTGGGAAATACCTGGAGATTTTGGGGGCGGAGCCTGGGGAGGGCGGGGAAGGGGAGGGACCTCGGCAGGATATAACGCCATAGAGCCCACCCCCCTCCAAAGCAGGCAGTGTCTCCAGGGGAATGGATCTCGGCTGTCTTGAGAGCAACTGTAATAGTGGGAGAGGTCAAGGTGCCACCTGGAGGCTGGCAACCCTATGTAGTGACTCGAAAGGCCGATGATCCTCCGTATAAGATGGCCCCCTTAAAAAAAGATGTACACACAGAAGAATATTATTGGACATAACTGTAACATATGCAAATGTCAGGTGACCCATTTCTCGGTCACTCGTTCTATGATGGCATGCTGGTGTGGGGGGGAAACCCTGCGTCTTACATTTCAGTAAATACTGTACTTGCTTTGTCCTTTGCTACTGCCACCAAGAAAAGAGACACACCAGCCAACCCAGTGGACTCTTCTTGGCAAACAATGGCTGCTTTTAAGTCATATGTTAAATATGACACTCCTTCCAAATGTTGCTTTTCTAGTCCTATACCAAGACCAGCTTGGGAAATTACCTTGTTGTGTAACAACCAGCCACATATGATCGCTGCGGGATCCGTTCCTTTGCAAGGATGGGTTACATGAGAGGATAAAAACAATAAACAGTCTATATATCTAGCTACTTCACTCTAGTCACTGGTTACTCCAAGATGGATACTCTTCTCTGATCTTACTTCTCACATCGTCTTATGGCGTCTGATCTTAGAACAAAGGGAGTAGGAAGAAACTTCCAAAATGCCTATGTGCAAGATATCCGGTAACATCACCCAACTACAAATGGACCAACGACTAGGCAAAAGGTCACTTCATTACGAATAAGACGTCCCTTTCTAGAGCGGGAACTTCTGCTCAGCATCTCATAGGTTCTAAGCTAACTAACAATTAGCATACATAAGCAGGTTAATTCTTTAATGACTTCAGGAAGTGAATGTGTAACTATCCCAACACCCCTTCTTCAAGCTCATGAACGGAAGTCATGAAGGTTCAGCTTCTTGCGCAGGCATTCCAACCTCCCCCCTAGCAAGTGGCTTGGTTAATATGTCAGTCACCATCTCTTCAAGAAGGACAATACTTGATCTCAGTCAGTCCTTGTTGCTGCATCTGTCCACAATGTGCTTGCTTCTTGCTTTGATGCTCTCACTCTTGGATAGGGCTATGCATGCCCTCAAACAAAGTTATTGGTTTAGGTTCATCAGCACCAGAGTTCTTCAGTAGACAGATAATCCATTCAAGTTCACTGCAGGCATTTGCAGCGGACATGTACTCAGCCTCGATTGTTGATTTGGCCACTACTGGTTGCTTTTGGCTGATTCCAGTCAACCTGTCTGTCTCCACAGAAGAACAAGTAGCCACTTGTTGACTTGCAGTCAGTCTGGTCACCCCAGCCAGCATCCATGCATCCAAGCAGTCTCAGGCTGTCACAAGCTGAGATCTTTAGTTTCAAGTTGGCAGTATTTACGAGGTATCTAGCCAGTCTCTTTACAGTGTTCCAATCATAATGATTTCGTGAATCAGTCTTTCTGCACAGGATTTCAGCAGGTGCAGAGACATCAGGTCTTGTCACTGTGCTCAGATAAAGAAGTCTGCCAGCTGCTTCTCTGTATTGTTGGTTGCTCTCTAGCAACACCCCTTCTTCAAGTCTGAGGTAGGCAGGTTCAAGAGGAGTACTAAGTCCTTTGGCATCCTTTAGGCCCAGGGATTTTGCAAGGTCCGTAATCTTGTGTCTTTGGTTCAGGAGAAAACTCCCATTCTCAATCCTTTCCATTTGTATTCCAAGGTAGTGGTTCAATTCTTCCAACTGTTTGACTTCCACCTCTTTGTTATCTGCAATTTCCTGAACATCGTCTTTGGTATGGCAGCATAACAACTGTCCATTCCTACATGACAGCACATACTGACACAGTCCATCTTTAAGTCTGGCAAGTAGGTAGGTGTCCGCCTTTCCCTGTCGAAAGCTTTAGCCTTGCAGCAGCATAACTGATTTCTCAGTCCACGCTATGGCAGCTTGTTCCATCTTCAAGGCAAGAGAGGTGGTTCACCACTGCCTGCCTCTGCATAGCAACTCCAGTCTTCTCTAGATGGTCCCTCATCCAAATACTAACCAGAGTCAACCCTGCTTAGCTTCTAAGCTCTGGTGAAGTCCGGCTGCCCTGGGCCTCAATCTAGACTATTCAAATTAAGTAATTTAGATGTAACTAAGGGCCAAACCAGTTGTGCAGGGAATGTCTGTTAAAAAAATAAAGGAGACTCTAATTCAGCTTGGAATGCTGCCATGGGGGGGGGGGGGCATGCCTGCCTAACATTTTCCTGCACTGAAATGTGTGTGTGTGGGGGGGAGTTACTGCAACTGCTATGGGGCTATTCAAAAAAACAGCATCTCTTAAGTTTGGCCCTTTGATGCCACGTAAAGTAAATATTATATAGGAGACCCATGACTGGATCTAAATTGCCTCTCTCAGGCTGCAGTTAGCTCTGGCAGGAAAGGAAGACAGGCAGAGACAGTGTTGGTCTTCCTTCTCTGCTGGGGATCACTGCAGCGGAGAAGCAGTTACACTCGGGGAAATAACTTGAGGGGGGAAGTCGATCCCTTTCTGGTCGAGGCCTGCAGCTCTGATTCAGGCATCCTCTCCCTCCTGAGCGGCATTCCCCAAGTCTAAACGCACATCCAGCGATCTGATAACAGATTCCCACAAGAATGTGTAATTTCATCTAAAATGTGATACAAATGCACAAACTTTTCCTTTTTTTCTTAGTGACAGGTATTGTATTTTTTTAAATCATCTCGTGTTAGTTATGTTAACAACTAGAAAACAAAACTACTGTAAATATAAAGGCAATTTTCTATTCAGCCTTTCCACCACCAGAGAGACCAGCCATGAGAAAGGAAGAAAAATCAAAGGAGGAATCCCCACTCAGAAGTCGGCAGGCACCAGTGTTGGTGAATAGTGGCTGGGAAAGGCCAAATGCCTATTTGTCAAAAGATCTTGTAGAAAGTAAAGGAAACTCTGCAAAATTATGGAGCAATTTATCAAATGGATTTTGAGTATGAAGACTCTGGACAGTAGAGTCGCCAACTCTGGCTTGACAAATGCCTGGAGATTTGTGGGCAATCCCTGTCAGGGGGTGGACCTCAGCAGGGATGTGAGGGTCCGGTCCACCCCCTGGCACTGCCGTTTCCTCTGGGGGACCTGATCCCTACGTTTCAGAGATCAGCTGTTATCCCAGGAGAACGCCAGGCCTCACCTGGAGGCTACCATAAAGAAACACTGTGATAGAACACAACACACTTCTACTAATATGTACTTGTATCTTCATATATTGATTTACTTGCAATACAGACTCTAGTATATCTTATACACATACAAAAACCTAAAGTACATTGTATCTACTAATAGGAAAGTCCACAGCTACAAAGACCTATTCCAACACTGTAGACGATCTTGCTCCTGATAAAGGACTGATGAAAGTTGCAAAGATACAAGTACATATTAGTAGAAGTGTGTTGTGTTCTATCATGGTGTTTCTTTATGGTTGTCTAACTTTGCCGTGTTCCCTGCATGTTTGTAGCTCACCTGGAGGCTGGCAACCCGACTTAACAGACTAGTTGCAATGAGAAAGCCATGGCAAGATGGAGTTGGTACGGTAGAAACATCTATTTTTCTTAAAGTTATAAATCATGCCTGCAAATAGTGATGCACAACTAACGCTCAGTTCTTGGTGAGGACGATTTATATGTGGGACTGGTGATATTTCACAGGCTGAACACCAGGCTCCCATATGTGACAAGGAGAAGTTACCATCTTCCCTCCCACAACTGAAAAGCAATACCTTTTTTCCAGACTTGGCTCTCTAGCTGTCTTCCAAGAGGAGGAGGAATGTGCCCAGGGCGAGATGGTGGAAGGGGATACCGGGCAGGGGGAGGGAAACAGCTCAGGTTGGATTTGGAATAAGCACCACGAGAATTGCCTCTACAGCATCAGTAAATCCAGAAGGGGAGAAAACAAACCAATCAGTACTATACCAGGCAGAAACGAAGTACGAGCAGAATACTAACAGGCGCTGGCTGAGGTTGGGCCAGGACAGTGTGGTTTCCAGCTGAAGCCAAAATCGTGTCTGCTCTTACCTGGCCACCTGCAAAAATTATAGGTGCAGAGGCCGGCTTGGGGCGGTAAGGAATGGTTGCACCTTTGGGTGGAGACTGAGGGGGGGAAAAGAGAGAAGAAGAAGTGAGGCAAGGTAAAAGAGCCAAGACGCACAGACAGTTGTTACAGCTGCGAAGGACGGCATCGATAGCCACACAATATTACCCCCCAAACTTGGCCTGTTCTCCTAACAGCCATTACTTAGGCTCTCATTGGTCCATGTAATATATCAGAAACCTCCCAGTTGATAAATGATCAAAGTTATAGAAACAACCAGGGAAATGTTTTGTATATAATGCAATAGATACTATATTGAGGTTTTATGCAAAGTGTAAATTAATTTTTAAAGTGCTTAATTCATACATTTATAAAAATATCACCTATTAATTCATACGTAAGAATCTCATATTATAAACAGATCACAGTACAGTAAGAGAATCACAATACATAAATGTATTAACAAAGCTTCCGGCTTGAGTCTTCGTTTCGCTCCTGAACTTCCTCAGAAGTAAATTCTCTTATGACTTCCTCAGAAGTAAATTCTCATACTCACCATTTTGCATTTAGTGAGTGTCGTCTCTTTGAGAATTTACTTCTGAGGAAGTCATAAGAGAATTTACTTCTGAGGAAGTCATAAGAGAATTTACTTCTGAGGAAGTCATAAGAGAATTTACTTCTGAGGAAGTCATAAGAGAATTTACTTCTGAGGAAGTCATAAGAGAATTTACTTCTGAGGAAGTCATAAGAGAATTTACTTCTGAGGAAGTCATAAGAGAATTTACTTCTGAGGAAGTCATAAGAGAATTTACTTCTGAGGAAGTTCAGGAGCGAAACGAAGACTCAAGCCGGAAGCTTTGTTAATACATTTATGTATTGTGATTCTCTTACTGTACTGTGATCTGTTTATAATATGAGATTCTTACGTATGAATTAATAGGTGATATTTTATAAATGTATGAATTAAGCACTTTAAAAATTAATTTACACTTTGTATAAAACCTCAATATAGTATCTATTGCATTATACACAAAACGTTTCCCTGGTTGTCATTGGTGCACGGCATCTGTGTGTGCGCGTGCGTGCGTGCATGCTTGTGCATGTATATAGCTCAGAGATCCACAATGGTGCCTGCAGAATCAAAAAGGTTGGGGACCTTTCAATCCTGCGGGGACCACTGGGAATCTGACACAGTGCAGTGGGTGCAGCCACAAAATGGCTGCCACAGGAGGCAGAGCCAGCCACAAAATGGCTGCAGTGGCTTACCTTCAGTCACACAGTGAAGATCCTCGTGCTGTGGGGGCAGCTGCTGCCAAAGCAACGTCTTTAAAAATCTGCACAGCCCATCAAATCACCACTTGCCAATCAGAAGGCGCCCTGGGCAAAAGCCCCACCCACTTTCTAAAAGCACTACTTGATGAGCACAAGGGAAGGTGCTGGTGACCCTGGTGTAGGATTTTCAACTTTTATGCTACACTCATTGTGGCACTTTCCGGCTGCCATGACTAAGTGCCGGCTCACACATAACCTCGGTGCCTACAACCAGCCCACAGCAGAGCACAAGAAGAAAACCCGGTCTTCAGCCCACCGCCCACACATACAAAGCACTTTCAGTGAAACTGCCAGTGCCGACATTTGTGCCCCATGGCCAAGATGCCCCCTGTGTCTACCCTTCATCCGCCACGGACAGACTCGGCGCGAGCAGAACCAACTCGTATACAGATTTCCTTCAGTTCACCCAAAGTGTCCTCTGCCTGCAGGGGTGGGGCAAAGCTCACTCCTCAGAAAAGTGTGAAATGGCTCTAAAGTCATTATTTTTGTAAAAAGAAGGAAACCTAAATAATGAGATTTCAGAAAATGATGAAGAAAATCACAAAAGTGACACAACACCTTAATAAATCACCCCACTAACCATTTGGCCGTTCAGTTTGGACATAGTATCTCATGGTTCTGGATTTAAGGAAAGCATCATTGAATCTCTTGCTAGCATCCATGGAAGCAAGCCATGCTCCTCACTGGGTCAAAATCCATCCTACACTGCATCCTGTCTCAGAAGGTGAAAGTTTCTGCTGCTACGAATGTATTTACTAAATGCTTAGAGCAATGATGGAGCACCCTTGTCACTGAGACACCGACTCCCAGGGGTTACCTCCTGGGGGTGTCCTCCCTGCCAGGATGTGGTGCCATGAAGTCCCATGAAGTTGCAATTCACTTATGGTGACTCCAGAGGGTTTCCAAGGCAAGAGAGGTTCAGAAGTGATTTGCTATTGCCTCCTTCTGCATAGCAACCCTGGGACTTCCTTGGTGGTCTCTCATCCAAGTGCTAACTGGGGCTGACCGTGTTTAGATTCCAACATCTCACAAGATCGAGCTAGTCCAGGTCAGGGGAAGTGGATTGCCATTGCCTGCCTCTACATAGTGACCCTGGGCTTTCTCTGGTGGTCTCCCATCCAAGTACTGACCAGGGCTGGCCCTGCTTAGCTTCCAAGATCTGATGAGATTGGGAGAGCCAGGACGTACCCCAAAATACCGTAGTTATAGCCACCCACTTCCCATTCCATGGGTTGGTCAGTTCCTATTACGCAGTACAGTCCTCTTCCTGGACTCCTGTCTGCCCTGTGGCATGCAGATCTATTGTCTGCTGCATCCAGCCAATGGCAGAAGGACATAGGCTTGTATTCCGAGTTGGCTATAAGTACTAAGAACAGAAGGAGCTGCGGTGGCTCAAGTGGTTAAGGCGCCGAACTGCAGGCCGTGGAAGGTCGGTAGTTCAGCAGTTTGAGACCCCAAGTGTGCCACATGACGGAGTGAGCTCCCGTCTTTAGTTCCAGCTCCTGCCAACCTAGCAGTTCGAAAGCAAGAAATTGCAAGTAGATAAATAGGTACCGCTTCGGTGGGAAGGTAACAGCGTTCCGTGCCCCTTTGTGTTTAGTCATGCCGGCCACATGACCACGGAAACGTCTTCGGACAGCGCTGGCTCTTCAGCTTTGAAACGGAGATGAGCACCGCAACCCTAGAGTCGGATTCGACTGGCTTTCGAGCAAGGGAACCTTTACCTAAGAACAGAAATATAACACTGCCCCCGAGAGCTGTTGAGTTTAATCACAGTCAAAGGGACACCATGCCCACAGTTAAATACTGTACTAGCAGGCCTCAGCACTATTGTGTTGAGAGAGTGAACTGTTCCCAGGCACAGTGAATCATTCTAAGAAAGCTTGCCAGTGCCCCAGGACGGTATCCTACCTCAAGCATAACCACGCAGATTTGCTTTACACACTGAATAATGGCGTCAGGAGTACCCGATATAGTCACGGCGCGTTCCGTGGAGTTTGGTAACATATCCCCCGCGACTTGCACCTGGGCCCCTGTGGACTTAAATGCAAACAGGGATGTTACAAGAAATGAACAAGCAGCTCATTCATCATCAAGAATAGAAGACCACTTTGGTATTTCCGTGGTGTTATGAGAGTTTGCTACTTTAAGCCAAATGCTATGTATACATGGAAGGTGATAACGGATGTTTGGGGTTTAATCCTACAGCCAACTTCTCTGTGTTAGGATGAAATTGATGATGTCGCAACATTTCTGGAAATTTTAAAGCCATGAGGGGAGACGACATTTCCCCCTCCATTTCCCCCCAGGAAAAAAATGGAAATTCTGGGAAAAACTGAAAGACTTCTTTCTTTCTTATCAAGCCTCATCTTATTTTATTGCTTCTACTCGCTTCATTTTACTGCAACTGTATAGCACTGTAGAAGTATTAATTCCTTAGGGAGCAATCTTAAGCCAGTCTGTTCACAGGCATTTGATTCAATGGGGCTGGCTCCCAGGAGAGAAAGAGCACTGCAAATCTTAGCACACAGAACTTAGTTTTTGATATCTGAACTGTCCGAAAAAATAAAAAGTTGACAACAGAAAACAACTTTTGTAGTGAACAAAAGGAAGTATATTATTTGGACAGAAACAGGCTCATTATCACAAAAGGACGTGCGGCATAATCAGATATCCAGCGAAACACTGTAACACTGAAAACACTGAACTCTTCAATACTGCATTATCATACACCATATGAGACGGGTGTCGAACTCATTTGTTACAAGGGTGGATCTGACATAAATGGGACTTTGTGGGGCCAGGCCATGTGTGTCATAAAATCTAATGCCAGGTAGCAGAGATATAAAGTTTATAAAAGATACAAACACAATTAAAGATTTTTTTTTACTTAAAATACAAATATGCTTAAAACTTCTGCAATATTTTATTTATTTAACAGTCTTTGATAACCAACAAAGGTGGGGGAATACTGGGGTTTGGCAATGCAATTTTTAAAATAAAAAATCCAGAAAAAGCACAAGGATCACAGCAGAAACTAAAGGCTCTGAGCCTAGGAACATCAAATGGCTGGGCATTGCAAGCTTCTCCCCTCCCCCTCACAGGTCTACTCAGAGTGGCAGTGGCTCTCCAGTGTAATGTCCCCCTTTGGCTGTGGGTTCCCAGGTTAAAGTACTCACTCAGGCACCCGTTCTCAAGTCCATTCAGCAGGGACAAGCTGGCTTAAAACATCAACCCTGTATTTGCTAAGAGACAACTCCAGCAAGCAACAGCTTCAACTATACCACCACTAGAAAGTGAAACTTCTTGACCTCCACCCCACTGAAATACATTGCAGCACAGACAAAGTTGCAAAGAAAATATGGAATGGATTTCCCATTAAGGTCTCTGGGCCCAGACAGACTACTCTGGGACTGGAATGACCACCACCAGAGTGAAATGACAGTCCCTGGGAGTAGCAGAAGCATCCTGGGATTGGAATGAGGGCCCCTAGAGTGGAATTCCATTCCCAGAATGCTGCTGCTACAACCAGGGGCTGTCATTCCACTCTGCACCCTGTCACTCCTGTCCCAGAACACAGATTCTATTGCTAAGGACCATCATTCTACTCTGGAGGCTCTCATTCCATTCCCAGAGCATTGTTTCTATTGGTGGAAGCAATCCCAGAGTAGTCTACTTGGGTGCCGGGACCTTAATGGAAAAATCCATTCCATATTTTCTTTGTAACTTTGCAAGCTCAGAAGAGGCAAAGACAAGACAGAAGGAGGGAGCTGGGAACTTCGGCAGCCTCAAGCCTCAACTCCAAGAATGAGGATGGGAGGGGGAGGAGGGGGGAAGAAAAGAGCCGTGGGCCTGATTAAAGCCATGGGCTTGCAGGCCTTAAGTTTGACACCCTGCCATATGGCATATTGACTGGGGACAAAATTAGTCTCATTTAATCAATTAATGTATCTTTGAAAATATGTTGTATATAATCACATGTACATAGGCATTCTAACTCTCAACATGGCCCATCTCTGGATACTTAAATCTGGAGATTAGGGCCATGAAGAGACAAGACAGATCTTTCTAAATTTGAAATCTAAAAAACAAAATTGAGGGGGCCAGTTACACACTCTCAGCCGACGCTACCTCACAGAGATGCTGTGAGGATGAGGATAAAATAAAGGTGAGCAGAATAATGTAAGCTTCTTTGGATCCTCATTATGGAGAAAGGCGGGTTATAGATGAAGCAAATAAAAATGAAGACGGGGGGCAGATATAAGGTAGGTTGGTGGGTGGGTGGGAAAGAGAGAAGGATGCGGGGAAAAGTGAGGATATAGGAGCTGCCAGGAGGAGGAAAAGAAGGAATAGTGTGGGGAGGGGGATAGAGGGGAAAGTGGGTGCCTCCACAAATCCTTGCAGGTTCCCCACTGTGCAGCTGGGTCCAGGCCAGTGGCTCATGCCACACAGCTTGGCACAGCTCAGGCGGACAGCCAGCACTGCATGCAGTTTTCCTGGGGAACAACTGCCAGAGGGAGGGAAGGAGGGAAAGCTGAAAATGGGGCAGACTGGCTGGGGGGGGGGAGGGAGGGAGGGGAGGAATCCCAGGATGCTTCTGCTACTCCCAGGGACTGTCATTTCACTCTGGTGGTGGTCATTCCAGTCCCAGAGTAGTCTGTCTGAGCGGGGATTTGAACCTGGAGATCCCAGACAAGATGAAGGACTGGCTCAGATAGAAACTCCACAGAGAACCAGGAAATAAGCTTCACTGACACATTGATTCTCCTGCTGTAATATCCAACTGTGCCAAATGTTATACAGTTATCTATGAGTCTTTAGGCTTCCCTGCTCATGATTCATTGCAGCTCAAAATTAATTCAGAAACAGATTCTTTCAAGTCATCAAGGCAGTAATTAAAAATGACTTCTGGTATCTGAAAAAAATTCAGCATGCAAATGAATGGAAACCCCTTGATGAATGATATTTCATTCTCTACTTTCATCGTTAAGTTCTAAATGTGACGTGGGCTGCATCCCACTTTGGTGCATCTCATAACTGTGTGCTGCTGCCACAATAACAATAGCCAAGGATTGTTTCACCTTGTTTTTATTATATGGTACTATTATCATTATTATCATTATTATTATATGGTACTACCAAATACTTTAGCCACCAAATGAGAAGGGAGCACTCATTGGAGAAGATGCTGATGCTGGGAGAGACTGAAGGTCAAAGAAGAAGGGGACGGCAGAGGATGAGATGGTTAGACAGCGTTATCGAGGCAACGGAGATGAGACTGAGCACACTCCGAGGGACGGTGGAGGACAGGAGGGCCTGGCGTGATGTGGTCCATGGGGCCGTGAAGAGTCGGACTTGACTGTGCAACTGAACAACAAAATTATTTTCTTAGAGGCTAATTGTTGTGAGCCGCCCTGAGCCCATTTTTGGGATAGGGCGGGATATAAACCTAATCAAATAAATAAATAATAAAGGGATGCATAAATCACATGGGAGATCCACACTCCTGCGGCAACAGAAGAGATCTTTTTCTCCCTCTTCCATCTTCCCTTCACCCAGGGTCCTGGAATGTAGCTGCTCCTGCAGCAGTGGATCTTCACTATGGACATCAGGTGTCTTATAGGAAAACATGTCCCAGGACTCCGGGCATCTGAGATGTTACAGTCAGGGGCTATCTTTCCCCTCCAGGCCTCCTCCCTCTTCTCTTAAGCATCTGGAACAAATGCTGCTCTGGTAGCCATCCAGGAACCAGGAATCTTGGGAAATGTAGTTGTCATAGGGCATCTGATATTCTTGGTACAGGCATCAGGAATCCTGGGGAAACTACATTTCCCCGCTGCTTTGGGGACACAGCTGAAGCTAAATTCCAGGTGCTGGGGACAGGCCCTCCCCCCCTCCATAACAGCATCAGCTAGGAAAGGGCGGGGGGGGGGGAGGAAGTGGGGGAAAGGAAGAACTCATTTAGCCATACTGAATAGAAACATCACAGTTACCAAGGCTCTGAACCGAGGAACGGCAAACGTCAGTGGTATCGCTACCAAGAGACTTAAAATGAGGCATTTGAACATTTCTATTTAGGAACAAACTCTGTGGCAGAGGTAGGTATGTTTTATAGTAATCCACTTGGGAGAACTCAAATACCCTGACAAAATATTGAAAAGAACTCAAAACGTTTGGAGAGAAACGTACGCACTTTGTCCAAAGATGCAAAGCATTAGAAAAACAGACATGTTTGAAAGTAATGAATAATGTTGAGGTAAGGCTTCTAATTTAATTTAATACAAGGGAATTAGAACACAACAGGAACTGTAACCCTAAACCAAGTGGAATTTTTCTTGCACGGTTGGCATCAATGAGAAACTCCTTCCAAACTTCTTGTTCTTTTCCATTGGCTACTCCATAAAAACCATAATGAGGTTCAGTCATGTATAAATATGCGTATTTGGAATAAGCAACTCCCAAGAGTGAAATCAGGTGGGTGGCCCCAAAACTGGAACTCCCCCCCCTCAGGGAGACCCCCAGGGAGCTGAGGACTGACCAATTCAACAGAGGGCACTGAGGAACGACCTTGTCTATTTCCCAGCCAGACCAGAAGTCCATGCTAACTCTAGAGCAACAATAGAGTCATGGCTGAGAACTCCCAAATCCCCCACTGCTCCTGAGGAGGGAGCTCTTAGCTCTTAGCTCCAATAAACCATCCACGGTTCAGGAGGGGTCATCGTGACCAATGCTCCCTCTAAGCTATGGAGTCTTGTGAGCAAAAATTCTACTTTGTGAGCTGCTGGCATTAAAGTTGTGAGCACGCAATTTGGCAATTTCACACTAACTCAGCTTACCGGGAACACTGGCCGTGACTCAGTGGCAGAGCCTCTGCTTGGCACACAGAAGGCCCCAGATTCAATCCCTGGCATCTCCAGTTAAAGGATCTGGTAGCAGGTGATGTGAAAGACCTCTGCCTGAGATCCTGGAATGCTGCTGCCAGTCTGAGCAGGCAATACTGACCAGGATGGACCAAGGGTCCGACTCAGTAGACGGCTGCTTCATGTTTATATGCTGCTCCACTTTTCTCCTGAAGAGGCAGGGACTGAAACACACACCTCTCTGAAGGACAACTTAAACCTTGCACAATTCACATCCGAGTCTCTGGGCAGCAACACTTGGAAGTTCTTGCTTATCTGTCCATAAGCCTGCCTCTCCGTAGAGTACCTTAGACGCCTGCCTCAAGGACACCAGCTTTTGGTCCTTTCTGCACTAGACCTTAAATCCTGGTTCAACCCTGTCCCCGAACTTACATTCAACACTACCTGCACATTCACCCCTGTAATTATCTGGGGGTATTTTTTGTTTCCGCATTACATTGAGGTCACCTGGTTTTGCCCCACCCTTGTCCGGGGATAAACGGATGCTGTTACAACCAGGGATAAATGCAAGGTATTGTGTCCTGAGTTGAACTCTGATAAAACCAGGGATGAGATTCAAGTGCGGAAAGGAACTTTTTTTGTGGTTCTTGCAGCTCCTTCTCTTGGTGGGATATTTTAAATCATATGACTTGGCCTCTCAGGTATTTAAGGTACCCGTGGGCATTTCTGATTGAACAAAAAGACTCCCTCCTAAAGCTGTGCATATCTCCCTGCAGATTTCAAAGTGTGAGGAGAATGCACGGCTATAGGCATTACCTGAATGACACCATTGTCTGCTCCCTCTGCTTGGAACTCTGCACTGAAATTCTCAACTCCACTCAGGCAAAGCCATCGGTTTCAAAGGAATTCCTGAGTCTGCCCGGGGTTCCCAGGGATGAAGCCCAGCCGCCGTGGGCAAGCTTCCCCCAAAGACACCCTGATGGCTTGTCTGCACTTTTATTTTGCATTTATTCCTGTTCGTGGGGAGGGCGGGGTGTAAATACAAATAAATAAATAAATAAATAAATTTACACCCCATTGTAGTATAGATGGGATTATAAAGATTTTTTCTGATTCTTCATATTTGCCTGGTTTTATAGATTTATTCTTAATAAGATTTTATTAGGATGTAATGAAGGCCTGTTACATAGAAGGCCTTTCCTTGTAGGTCAGGGTATTTTTCTAGCTGACGTTAGCAGACAAGACAATAACATTGTTTTGGTACAGAAGAACGTATAAGGTTCATGGTTTTTAATTGTTTAGGGTAAGAACTTTGCAGTGTCTGGGTCAAAAAGGATTTTAACTTCATATCAGAAAAAAACAACACCTTTGTTTGTGTATAGAGAATCCTTGGCTGATAGTATTCAGGTTAGGTTAAGTAAATACTTGACGTATGTATAGACACACCTTTCTTTACATTTAACCAATAAGGGAATTTTTATTCAAACGATGTATAATTCTTTGTAACTGATTATGCTTTTTGAATGTTATTTTCATGATGATGACATGATGATGTCACTTAAAGTATAAAGCTCTATGTATTTCCTGGTTGTCCTCAGAAAGCAGTCAATTTTTGATGGGCTGTCTGGCCTAACTGTTTTTCGTGTCTGATTGCAATTAAACACAAGATCTTCCTCCTCATTTTGACTTCAATTTCTCCTTTTTGACTGGGAATCTATTTGTATTACACCATTTTCCTCCCCAGTTGGCATTCAAAGCGGCCGAGGACATTGCTCTCCCCTCCTTTATTTTCTGACAGCAACAGGCCGAGCTGAGAGCTTGTGACGGGACCAAGGTCACCCAGCGAGCTCCCATGGCAGGAGCGGAGATTTGAACCTGTCTCTCCCTGGATCTTAGTCTGACACTGTATCCAGTACACCACGCTGGCTCTTTCAGGCACAAGCTGTTCAGGCGGAGCAAGACCCAACCAGCAATTCCCTGGATGAACTGACGATGCATCCTATATGTCCCAGAATCCTCAATAATGCCAGCGGTTTGATGGCAAAGAACTCAATATGGAAAATGTTCCAAGAAGTACGGTACTTCCTGTTGGAAATATGTGTGTTGCAAGGTCTAAATTAAGTCATTATAGGGTTAATGTGTTTACCTTGTGTGCTATTGTTTAGACTGACCTGGAAGGGAACCTGGCACAAAGCCCATGGGGAGAAAGCCCGGGAAACTGGAGCCTATTTAACAATCATTGGTTAATGTATTCAGGTTATTTCCTTCTAGGGTCAAGAAGAAAGAAGAATCTCTATTACCAGCCATGTGGTCAATCAGACGGTTGTTGTATTTGTAACAGTAAAGGATGTAGTCTTAAGTGTTTGTTCTTTGTGGATTTCCCGTGTACTCTTCCCTTTAGAAATAAAGTTTTTTTACATAGAAAGAATATGCGTCCTCTCCAGTGAACATTGCAAGCTCTGAATATCTAACGACTTTTACCAAACTTTCCAACACTTCCAAGCCTCCCCTCCAAAAAACAACAACAACCAACCACCACACCAAAGTGAACAGTTCATACTCTGAGCTGCTTACCTCCCTGATTTCTTTGATTTTGGATCCTCCTTTGCCTATAAGGGACCCACATTGGCTTGCGGGGACGACAAGTCGCAGGGTTACTGGTGGCTTACTCGTCACCGTGCTGTTTGTCATTGAAGCATTGATATCCTGTAATGACAACATCAATAAGAATTAAGCAGAGATCTATTCTTTCCATCCAGAGAATTAGGTGACGTCTTTGAGCTTAGAAAGGATAGATGTAAAGGGTGATGGGTCCATAACAAAGGCAGCAAAACACTCTACTACAGGCCAAAGTTATAGGGCTGGATGCCACGGATCCACTTCACTAGTGGACGTGAATTCCTGCAGCTCTTTGCACCAGCAGACAGGATGGCCACTCATCCAACACATCTGTGGGATCCACCCCGTAGACTTCAAGACACAATCTGTAAAAACAGGTTGCTTACCTGTAACTGATGATCTTTCAGTAGTCATCTGTGCATTCACACCCATGGGATCTAGTGTGCACGCGCTGGATCGATCGGCATTGTAGCAAGCTCTTTTAACGGATTTTCGCGCCCAGACCTCGGGCATGCGCAGGAACCCCACCGCGTATGCCCAGAGGGAAGGGCGCGGACATCCCGCCAGTTCCTTCAAACCACCGCAAATCAACCCGTATTGAAAATGTAGAAGCTGACAGCAGCGGGGAAGGAGGGTGGGTGGTGTGAATACACAGATGACAACTCAAAGATCATCAGTTACAGGTAAGCATCCTGTTTATCTTCGATGTGGTCTCTGTGCTTACATGGAAGATGTATCAAGCTGGACGATGTCAAAAACTGCATCCGTCACCTGCGAGTGTTGCTGAACGACAGAGAGGCCTAGGGAATGGGCCATTCTTTTTACAAGATCTGTGTATGACGTGAGATTGTCGGATGGGGAGATGGGCAAATCATCAGCGACAGCCTGATTAGGAGACTTATGATCAGGGGAGGTGTGAGCCTCAGATGCTTCGGTATTGGAATTTCTTCCATTGAATCAGAGGACTCCTGGTGTGGCATTTGGACAGGAGTGTCCTGTTGACCAGTTAAAGGTCTTGGTGGAATGACAGGGGTGGAAACAACTGGGGTTTGAACGACCTGAGGGTTGGGAGGACGACTGTGATCCAAGTTATGCTGGGCAGGATCGTCTGCAGGAGGACGAGAGAGAGATGTTGAAGGTCTCGACCTGTAGGGCGATCTCAATCTATGAGCAGAGTGGGATGAATATCGATCCCAGTCGGAATAGCTCGCCGGAGTCAGCCATGGCAAGGATGGTGGATAAGCCCCATACAGATACCTCATCTGTCGTTGATCCCAAGACTCGCGGGGATCGACTTCTGGACCGTGGATGTCTTGGAGACAAAGCGGCAGCATGTCTTTGAGAGGAGCCCGTGTAATCTTGGTTGTCGATATCGACAGATTGACTTGGAGGGTGACGCTCCACGTCGCATGAAGCATATCGGTGCCGACGTGGATCGATGTCGGGAGCTTCCGATACCGTCGACTACGGGGAAGGAGACGGTGAAGGCTCTGCATCCATTTGATGACTTAGGAGCTCTACCGTTTTGATGTCGGAGTAAGGATGCTCCATTTGGTGGACAGGGGAGTCCAAGACATGGATGGTCGGTATCGGTGGAGGCACTTGGGCCTCCGGTATCGATACAGTCGTTGGAGCGGGAGGCACTTTAGGGGCATCACCCAGTGCAGCCACCGCTACTTTCCCCTTCTTTGCCGCCTTAAGGGGTTTGGAAGCCCTTCTTTGCGGACTTTTGCTCCTTACTTGGCCTGGACTTCTTTTTCGCCGGCGTGGAAGCGGAGGATTGCGCCTTCGATGCCGGAGGCTTCGGTGTCGGTTGGCCGATATCGGAGGCAGGCCTCGATGCTGGAGCCGTTGATGTCGATGGTTTCTCGGCGTCCATCGCTGAGGAAGGATGTAGAGCTGATTCTAGCAGGGCCACTTTAAGGCACGCAGCTCGGTTTTTTCGGGTCTGGTTTGAAAAGCGAGCACAGTGGCAACAGGATTCGGGTCGATGAGACTCTCTGAGACAAAGTATGCAAAGGGTATGATGGTCAGGAGGAGCAAGTTTACTACCGCAACCCTTGCACCTATTAAAAAAGCTCCACTTCTTCTCCATAAAAACCAAAATGAAGAAGAAAGAAGGAAGGGGTGAGGGGGGGTAGCCCAAAGGCCCGACTGAGGTAAAGCGGCAACATCCCCCTCAGCAGAAAAGGAATAAACGGAGGGAAAAATCCAAAGAGCCGTGAGGCAAAAAGCCAAAACACACGAACCGATCAGACCGACGAAGAAAAAGGTCTTTCCAACGTGGCGGTAAGAAAGGAACTGGCGGGATGTCCGCGCCCTCCCCTCTGGGCATGCACGGTGGGGTTCCTGCGCATGCCCGAGGTCTGGACGCGAAAATCCGTTAAAAGAGCTTGCTACAGTGCCAATCGATCCAGCGCGTGTGCACTAGATCCCATGGGTGTGAAGCACAGAGACCACGTCGAAGATTAGGTTTTTCTTGGGTAAGACATGACAAAACAAATCCCTCTCTGTGCTTTTCTGTTAATGGCCATTTATTTCACTGTGCTTGATCCCAGTATCTAGCAAGTCCCTCATGCCTTTAAAGCAACAATTAGAAAGCAAAATCAATGGACAGCCAACCAACAAGAATTAAAGATTTTAATCTACTGACAATAATAACGGGTGTTTTTTTCTCTTCCTTCAGAATAGACAGGTTTGCTCTTTGCTCCATCAAAGGTTCCAATGGCTTGATGTACATGCCATCTTTGGTTTTGACTCCAAGTGTCAGTGGATGCAGCCACACCTGCACGATGAGTGATCAGAGAGCCAGGTGAAAGTGCTAGATGCTCTACGCTAATGGCACATCACAACCTGACCATCGCTTTTTTCCACTTGGATAAGGCATCCATCTCCTGTAGGAAAAGACTGGCGAAGAAGATTCAGGCAAGTGCCTTTGTCAGGGTGCCAGAAATGTCTGTCATTGGGCAGCTGTAGCCAATCACAGTTCAGAGGCAAGGACACTTGGGAGGACACTTGAATTAAGGGAGCCTCAAATCAATGGCTACATACACAGAGCCTCAGAGACAGACCCTGGCACTATTCAATGGACCAGTGATCTGGCTCTCATGTTGTCAGTTCATATTCACACGTTTGTGGCATTGGCACCTTATTTTTTTAGGTGTATACATGAAGCTTCTTAATTATATAGCTCAAAAGGCCATATCTGGCCTTCAGCATTCCATTTTCCATCTCCCTTCCTTGCTGACAACCTGTCAAACAATATTTTGAATCACACACAATAAAGGTAAAGGTAAAGGTTCCCTTGCTCGAAAGCCAGTCGAATCCGACTCTAGGGTTGCGGTGCTCATCTCCGTTTCAAAGCCGAAGAGCCAGCGCTGTCCGAAGACGTTTCCGTGGTCATGTGGCCGGCATGACTAAACACCAAGGCGCACGGAACGCTGTTACCTTCCCACCGAAGTGGTCCCTATTTATCTACTTGCAATTTCTTGCTTTCGAACTGCTAGGTTGGCAGGAGCTGGAACTAGAGACAGGAGCTCACCCTGTCTTGCGGCACCCGGGTCTTGAACCGCTGAACTACTGACCTTCCACAGCCTGCAGTTCAGCGTCTTAACCACTTGAGCCACCACACACAATACTGATGTATTTATTTACTGTTAAGAATTTTTTTTTTATAATGGCTACTAAATTGTGAACCTGTGTTGGCTTGATCCTCTCTATCCCCCCCCCAAGCCTGTTCTTTGACCTGCTGATTGCTAAACAACCTTATGTCAGTCAAGGGTCGTTCCATCCCTATCTCCCATGAAAAATGTGTAAAAGGTATATTTTCTTTTTCTCCCTAGAAGGAATTCAAGACTACTTTGAAAAGAGGGTAAAAGTGAATTATGTTAAGGATGGAATTGCTGAACTTTCTTTTGGAATTCTAGACGACCTTTTGTCTGTTTTATTCTATAAAAGAACTTCGATTCTTGTTCAGAATGCCAGGTTGATTTTTTTTTTGCTGCTTGCCGGGGGGGGAGGGGGTTATATTAGGATTTTGCAAACTCCCCTAACATTTATGTTATTTATAGTCTACCTTTTCAACTGAGACTCAAGGAGGATTACAAAGTGTAAGTCAATGCAATCAACAGGACGAGGCATCTAATAAGCAATGTAACAAGACGAAGGATCTAATTTATAAACATGGGTGAAAGGGTTGAAGCTTCACCCCTTGAGCCCCATTACAAACATTTTGTTAAACCTTTTAAAAACATAATTTATTTACTTCTTTTATTTACTTACAATTTTATTTATTTACTTATAATTTATTTACTTCACTTTTCTCCCCAAGGGGGACCCAAAGCGGCTTACAGTATTATTCCCTCTTCCATTTTATCTTCACAACAGCCCCGTGAGGTAGGCTAGGCAGAGTGTGTGTGACTGGACTAAGGTCACCCAATGAGCTTCCATGGCAGGGTGGGGATTTGAACCTGGGTCTTCCAGAGCGTAGTGCACTGAAGTCCTAAGAAAACAGCTGCAGCTAGTGGGGAAGGAAGGATACTTGCCATGGGGTTTGGCTAAAAACAACGTTTCCCAGCCCCAGGAAGACGAAAAGACCCCCCCCCCCCCCCGCCGACATTTCATCGTTTTTTGGGTCACCTGAATTTCCTCAGATGATTCTCCCGAACCTTTACATTTCCTTCACTTTACATTTTACATTAAGACAGAATTTTATAGCAACTCTATGAAAAATGACAGATTCAGTCCCACACTGAATCATATGATATTAAAGTTAAATTCAGATCCAAAAAAGGAATAGAAATATCTTCAGCCCCCACCCCCATCAGCATTCTTTTGGGACTAGCTGTCCCCGAGGAATGAAGACGGAAAATAAATGTTCAAAAAGCACGGAAATGGTCCATTATTTCACTTCTGATATTACTGTCGGGAGCATTTATAAAAATAAAGGCACCTTCATATTTTATTTAATGGCAACGAAACCAATTTTGTGCTGTGTTCCAGCAAACATGAGGAAAATCTAATAATAATTTTGCGGTGTAACTTCAGGGAAGAAGAATTTCCATTTACTTACTTCTTCGAATTTTAGTGCAATCATAGAAAAAGCCTTAAAGATGGCATCTGTTGGGCCTGTTATGGTCACAATTCTTTCTGGGCAGGACCCTTCGGAGATGTTGATCCGAGCACCACTCTGTGAAAAAGGACAATTTTTTAAAAAAGAAAAAAAACCCATAATGGTTTACCAGATTTGACTTGAGAACCAAGAACATCAATACTATCTAGCTCAGGGATCCCCAGCATGGTGCCTGATGTCAGACCTCTGGACAAGTTACTCTCAACAACACTCTCTTTGGCAGTGATATGTTTATTGAGTTATAAGCAAGCTCCAGGTCATAACTGTACTGTGTCAGAACTGTAGATTTTCACGGGTACAATCACTGATATAGCTTATTCAAATGAAACCCCTCCTAATGGCCACTCATACGTTACATCCATCCCGTCTAGCCATAGTGTTCCTACCCCCCCTTTCACCTGGGAAATATATGATCCCATTATCTACACAAGCAAGTTGGCACTAACAGTTTCAAGGTCGTTCCTCTGGGAGAGGAAGGCTTCTTCAGAAGAGTTATGGCCTCTAAGATAGTGCAGTCACACACTCCACACTCGCTCCCTCACACCTAAAGAATTCCCTCCCCCCAGCATTCATGGCTAACTGAGAAGAGCAATGTTTGACACCTTTCCTGGTGCTGCCAAGTGATTTTAGAAAGTGGGTGGGGCCAGGTGAGGCTTTTGCCCACCAAGGGTTCTGATTGGCCACTCAAGAGATGACTGCCTGTGCAGATTTTTTAAAAATGTTGCTTTGGCAGCAGCTGTCACCACACACAAGGATCTTTACCGTAGCAGCCATTTTGTGGCTGGCTCTGCCCCCAGTGACAGCCATATTGTGGCAGCAATTTTGTAGTTGTACCCAGCATGCTTTGTCAGAATTCCAAAGGTGCCCACAGGCTCAAAAATATTGGGAACCTCCGATCTAGCTTGATTGCATGTAGATTGCCCTCACTACACAGGGGTGGGCATGAGATTAATTTAAGAAATTGACAAGGTCAGACCTGCAAGGACAGTTGCAACCAAGGGTATGAATTAAGGCTACTCTTAGCAGGAACCGAAGTGACAAATGCAGCACATGTCAACACTGATCCCAACAGTCCTGTGATAAGCTTAAGGTGCTTGCAGGAATGTAGTGGCAGCACTCTGGAAGGAGTCCTGATCTTTGTCAGATACATGTAAAAGGTCAACAGTGGGCAGACATTTATATATGAGGTCATGGAGGGAAAAGCAGTAAATATCAAAAGGCCATGAAATTCAGGAAGGGTGAGACATAATCCTGTAAAATTCAAACGGAACTGAAAAAAAGACAGAGACATTTCATAACAATAAGAATGTCCAACACAATTTCTGTAATTTTGCTTACTCTGGTTAAAACAGGATTTCACTTACATGTAACCGTTGTTCATCAAGTAGTCACCTGTGCAGTCACACATGGGTTACTGTGCATGTGCAGGCCTGCTGCAGAGACATTTCTGAAGCCCCCAAACTCTAGAGCAGGGGTGTCGAACTCATTTGTTATGAGGGCCAGGTCTGACATAAATGAGTCCTTGTTGGGCCAGGCCATGTGTGTGTCATAAAATGTAATGCCAGGTAGCAGAGAGATAAACTTTATAAAGGTCACAAACACAAAGGTGGGGTTTTTCACTTAAAATAAAAACATGCTTAAAACATTAGCACTTTTGCAGTATTTTGTTCATTTAACAGTGTCTGATAACTGACACCTCTTGCTCTGAATTATTGCATCAAAATGTCTGTGCTGTTGCAATCCTGAGTATGCTGTTCAGGTGTGTATCTGTAAAGCTGCAAACCTACAATGATACAGCAGCAGCAGAACTGGAAGAAGAGGCAGAAGACAGCCAGTTCCACTGCGGGCCTGATAGAAGCCCTCTGGGGGCCTGATCCGCCCCCCGGGCCGCATGTTTGACACCCCTGCTCTAGAGGGGGCTCCATCCCCCTTCCCTACGCTGCCTTCCCACCTTTTCCAGCAATAAAAGAGCAGGGCAGCAGGGCCTCCTCTCTGTTCTTCACTGCTGCTGTCGGAGACAGCTGGTGTTGCTTAGTATATCTGTCAGTGCTCACAGCAGGTCAGAAAGGAGGGATGAGTGACTGCCCAGGCAAAGAAGTGTGCGTGCACATGCAGGCTTATTCCCAGAATAAAATTTTGTTGGTCTTAAAGGTGCCGCTGGACTCAAACTTTGTTCTGCCCAGGTGACCACTTGATGAACAACAGTTACGGTGAGTGCGACCTGTTTATCATCACCTCCTTTCAAAGGAGGTATGAATGAGGGCCACGCTGGAACCGCGATTTCATGATGATGGGGGGGGGGCAACTTGGATTACTTCAAATGGGGCTTTTTCAGCTCTCAAGCGCTCTAAAGCGTTTCTCCCAGGCATGTTGGTGCTCTCTTAGGCGATAGAGATGAAAGTGGTCTTGGATCCGTCTCTCTGGATTCTGACGCAGCCTCACGCTCGGACAATTGTTGGAAGCAGCACCTGAAAAGGTCTCTTCCCGCAGATTGGCGTTTAGGCCTGACGTCTGCTGTGTCTACATAGCAGGTATCTTGAGACATTGGGCTCTTCACCGAGGCAGAGTAGACAAAGTGTATGGTCATTCTCATGAGGGATTTTAACCCAACAAGACATGCATTTCTTAAAAACAGCTTTTGGTTATTTCTTTTTGAGGCCATTTGTTTTCCTTGTAATGATTTTGGCTTCAAAATTAGAAAAAGGCAGACAACAGATACTTCCACACAGCGCTTTGAAGGAAAGAACTTCACTCCACAACAGCAGAAAACTGAGAAAAGGGCGCTCCATCCCCTCCTTTGACACTGGAAAAGGCAAGAAAGACACATGGAGGAGGGGGAAAGAGCTCCCTCTAGGGTTTGTAGAGTGTCAAAATCTCTGTGTCAGGCATGCCTGTGCGCAGTGACCCATGTGGGACTGCACAGGCGTCACGATGAAGAAGATCAGTAATAGCTGAGGAACCCCTTGTCTTTGTTAAGTCCTTGAAAAATGTTATCAGACTTCTTGGTGAATTCTGATTCAGTGATTTCACACTGCAATTTCCCTTCTAAGTTCTTTTGCAAGGAAGTGTTGCCTTTTAGATCACAGTGTGCTTTAATGCCAGATTCACGTTCCTTTATTCCTTTGAATAGGGGCTGATCTGTGGAATGAGGAGGACACTTTGTGGACACTTATGGCATGCATCTAGGGTTGCTAGCCCCTTTTAAGGGGTGGGGGAATTCCCCAACCCTGGGCCCCACCCCCACCGTTGATCAACTGGCTGGTGGGGTGACTTACCAGTAGTGATGTCATTTTCAGCTTGTAGTGGAAGTGGCATCACGTTGCCAGCATCGTGCTGACATTCTGGTATTTTGGCAAAAACTGTATGGTAGAAGCCATTTTTACCATAGAGTTTTTGTCTAAATACCAGCCTGTCACTGTGATGGCAGCCCTGTGATGACACTGCCACATTGCCGGCGATGAAGCCGAGACCTTCTCTCCCATTCCTGGATTGGTCCCCCCAGGAGGGATCTGACAACCCTACATACATCACATGAGCAACTGGATGTTACTAGGTCCTGTAACAGTACTGTGTGAGTATTTACAGGGGCAAAGTTGGCATCTGGGTTTGTCGCAGGATCCACTCTTGTCCTGTGGCTTGCACCTGTCTTGGTTGCTTGTTTTTGTTGGCAAGAAGCTGCTTTCGGCTAGAGGGGCTGCCAAAGAAGGCCTGGCACCCCTCAAGCCCTCTAAGAGAAGCATTGGCTGTAGGTCATTAATGGCCCCGGTCACACGGGCAGGAAACTGCGGGGGAGAAGTGTGGCTGTTTGCCCTGGGGCAAACTACCGCGGGGTTACGCGATCAGACCTCCCGTGGAGGTCCTGTGGAGGTACCGTGGAGGTTCCATGGGAAGGGAGAGGTGCTGATCACAGGACAAGGCGGCGCGCAATGAAGAAGCGCGCGCCGCGGCAAACTGGTTTTTGTGTGTGTGTACCCAACGAATGCGCATGCTCCGTTGGGTGCGTGTGCGCATCCACAGAGACTCGGACAAAAAAAACACACCTTATTTGCAAGGGAACATGGGCGGGCGCCGGATGCCACCGGAAACGCGATCAGACGCCCGCCCTTGCCCCGCAGTTTCCGGAAACTAGTACCTCCGAGGTACTAGTTTTTTGCCACACAGTTTCGGCGGGAAGCCTCGGTTGAGCCACGGGAGTGCTACGCTTCCCAGATGTGCTGGTGAGATCATGCCCGGAAACTCCGCCTGTCTTCCGTCTTACTTGTGTGGCTACTGTTCCGTGTGACCGCAGCCAATGAAATGCTTTAAGATCTGCTACTGAAGGCATGAACCAACTTAGCAAAACTAAGGAAATCATGTAATCCCCATGATTACTAGTACTTTGGGGAATGGTCTCCATATCATCCTTCATTACCTATCTACATTTCAACTTGTTCTTCCTCACTGTGTGACTCCTTGATCTGGCAGAAAATGTCTGCCTATTGAGGACCCTCAACATATATTTGACAAAGCCAGCTCTCACCATTAATCATTTGAGTAAGGATTCAAAGAGAATTGTTTGTAAGACTCCTGCTTGAATTACAGGTCAACGCGTAGAAGACCAAGATCCAATAGCCCCCCAACACTCCCTTTGTCAGGTTTCTCATGAAGTTAGCAACAAAAGTAATAGACACGGATAAAGTGAATACAAAAAAGGAAGAATCCTCTATATAAATAAACCCCCCAAATACTCAAAAACACAAAATATAATACTCACAAAGTATTTACATGATCAAAAATAACAAACTTACAAAACAATTTCAATACAAATCTTGAAATTCATATAAATTGTGCAAATAGGGAGAGGTCCAAGTTCACGAGTCATTTATTTATATGAAGGATTCTTCCTTTTTTTGTATTCAGGTTTCTCATGAAGGCACCTTTAAAATTTTTTTTTTAATATTTATTAAGAGCAAGTATAACTTGTAACATGTACAATACCTGCAAAACAGTATACAAAAGTTCTGAGAATCCAACATTACAAACCAGCCAATCACCAACAAAGTTGTCATCATACATCAATAGTTATAACATAGTAACCTACTAATTTAGTATCAGATCTGTTCCCATAGATAAGAATAACTTTTGAACTATAAATCCCAATTAATGGAGTCAGGTTTAAACTACAACAAATTTAGGAGTCTGAACAACAAGAGGAGTCTCGGCAGCAAGGCGGAGGTCAGAGTTAAATCAAAACTGAAGCCATGTGTGATAGCTCGTCCTAGAGGGCAGCACATTGTGTTCTGTCATGAAGTCGAGTACTGGATACCAGGTATGTACAAATTTATCATAAGTTTTACTGGAGCTGTTTTGTATTCGGTCTACTATATTAGAAATTATATTCATCACAAACTGGTCCCAAATTTTGTCATACCAGGATGTCAGAGTAGGATGAGATGAAGATTTCCAGTTTCCAATCATGAGCCTGGCTGCTGTAAGAAGAATGGAGGTAAGGATCTTTTTGGAGTCATTCCCAACTGATGAAACCCAGAGATTGAGCAAGGAGAGCTCCAGAGTGACAGGGAGTGTTTGTTGCGTGATGCTGTTGATTTGGGAGAATATGCCCTTCCAAAATTGCTGAATGACTGGGCATTCCCACCAGCAGTGTAAATACATTCCAGAAGATCCACAGTTTTTCCAACACAGAGGATAATACTGAGGGTTCATTCTATTCAGCCTTTTTGGTGTGAGATACCACCTGTGTATGATCTTGAGGGAATTCATCCTAATGTTGTGAACCTGTGAGGAGAATGCCGGAGAATTCCATATGTCAAGCCATTGTGATTGTTGCAAGTCTGTTTCCAAGTCTGCTTTTCAAATCTTTTGGCAGGGAAGAGATCGGGAGCCTTCAGCAGATGATAAAATTTTGTGCACCTTAGAAAGCAATCCCTTCATGGAGGGATCGTATGTAGACAAGAGAGTCTCAAATTCCGTCTTTGGTCTGGTGAAAATACCTGTTTGTGCTAACCGATCAATCAAGTTCTTAAGCTGTAAATAACGGAACAAGGGGATGGATGTTCCAAGACTTTCCTCCAATCCAAGTTTATCTCGTATTTTCCCTTGTTTTACTAAATCTGAGAGACGTGTCAGACCTGCCGCCATCCAGTCCCGAAAGGCTCCTGATTCCATTCCGGGAGGAAACCACAACTGATTGATGAAAGATGAAAATTTGAACATCTTTGGTAATATCTGTGCTCGTTTGCGATCCCAGATTTTTAGAGCAGTGTTCTAAAAACAATTATTCCGTACTGAGATAGGGCGTTGAGTTGGCTTCATCCAGAAGAGATCCTGCAGTCGTACCGGAGAAATACTTGCTTGTTCAATTAACATCCAACCTGATAAAGAATCATTATTCATCATCTGTATTACTGTAGCTATCGTAGCCGCCTGATAGTAGGCACTCAAGAGTGGTAAATCTAAACCTCCCAGGGATGAGGGTCTGCTTAGCACTTGGCGATTTATTCTAGCCATGAAGGCACCTTTGACTCTCAAAAGCTCACACCTGGAAAATCTTGTTGGTCTCTAAGGTGTCACTGGATTTGGATCTTGCTTGTCTACTGCAGACCAACATGGTTATCCCTTGAAGACTGATTTAGGTGGGTCGCCATTTTGGTCTGAAGCAGCAGAACAAATTTCGAGTCCAGCGGCACCTTTAAGACCAACAAAATTTAATTCCGGGCATAAGCTTTTGTGTGCACACACACTTCTTCAGATACCCTGAAATGGAAGTTACCAGTCCATACATATAGTTAGAGGGTGAGCAACAAATTAGCATAATAGAGGTGTTTAACAGATGCAAGGACCAAACTGGCATAACAAGCTTAGTTTATTTGGAAGCATCTCAATTAATTACTATCAGCATTCCACAATTAAGAAGGGTACATCTAACCATCAATCTTGATACATTTGTTTCCTTCACTATGTTTCCCCCTGGAATTAAACCCCCCAAATGGTGATCATATAAACTAAGCTTGTGTCATGACCCCAGAGGGGTCTTTGGGTTTTGCCGCCACCCCTCTGGACTTCAGGTCCCCTGAGAAGGCCCAGAGTACCCTCCTCCCAGGCCCATCCAACATGCCCCTTTTTAGCCGAGAACACACAGGCGTGATTGACCCAGGCAGAGAAAATAATTACACAAAAAGGGTTTATTAAAACAACAGTGGGGCAGGGAAAAACAAGACACGGCAAGGTGCTTAAAAAGGGTATAACAGTGTGAAAGGAAAAATAAACATAACCTAACGCAGCTGTCTATTACTCCTAACTGTTTTACTTCCAGGCCACAGCCTGCCTAACACTCACACTGAGGGATCCTTTCCTCGCAGACCAACCTGTCTTCTCACTGAGATCAGGTTGCAGAGAGACGAAGGACGGAGGGATCTTCCTCTTCCCAGCCCAGCCTATCTTCTCACTAAGATCAGGCCGCAGAGAGAGACAAAAGACACCCTTTTCCCTCAGCGAACAGCTCAGATCCCTTCCCTCATCAGACTATCACAGTCTCCTCCCAGACTGTCTTCCCAACCGACTCCAACGGTCTCTTTAGAATCTTCTCTCTGACTCTCCCAATGCCTTCTGGGTGTTGTAGGCCTAGCCGCCTCCTACTGCCACCCAGGCCTCTTAGGCTGGCTAGGCCGTACTGGCACAGGCCAGATCATGACAGCTTGTTATGCCAGTTTGGTCCTTAAACCTGTTAAACACCTTCATTATGCTGCATGCTAATTCGCTGCTCACCCTCTACCTGTATGCATGTATGGATAGTTTCCATTTTGTTGTACCCAAAGAAGTGTCCGTGCACATGAAAGCTTAAAATATCTTGAATAAAATGTTGTTGGTCTTAAAGGTGCCACTGGACTCGAACTTTGTTCTGATGGTTTATCCCCTGAAACTCATTCATTGCATATTTTGCTTTTCTTCCAACCACTTGATGGCAGTATTGATTCACACACCTAAGCGATGCAGCTAATTCGCCACCATTACCAAAAGCCATTAATTCTCTCAAATAGAGATGGATTTTACGTTTGGGGGAAAAAATTCAAAATGTACATCTTACCTCCTCCCTCATCTTCTTAACAGTTTCACCTTTCTGTACATGAAAACAAAACAAAACAAAACCAGAAAGCGTGTGTTAGCTTACAGTGTGCCGGTGAAGGTGCAGGGAATGTATTAAACAAATTGGGCAGGCGGACAAATTCAGCTTCTCAAAAGTGGGTCACTCACCTTTCCAATGATGCTCCCAACCTCCTGAAACAAAGCGAAATGGAACCGAATGAGAGCAGAACAAGAGATGCATTATCAACAATCCTCCAGCTCTAAACATAATAAAAGGTTTGTATTAAAAAATACCCCACTGTGTCTAAACCGAGATTCGAGACCAGTAGCATGTTAGAGACCAACAAGGTTATTTTTTTGGGCGGGGGAGTTGTCATATATATTTTAAGCTATATTCTTATGCCATTACACCATATATATCATGCTATGTATTTGTTAAGCTATTATACCATATACTTTTTTATATATACGTATATAGTCTGATAAAGGAATGTCCTCAATATCTGTAAAACTGCCTTATGTTTTTGGTAATTATATTGCCTATGCATTTTTCCCTATTCCTTTTTTCTTTCTGTTCCCGTTTTAAAAGTGTATTAAAAAAAAGATTTTTTTGGGGGGGGGGTATAAGCACTTGAAGGTCAAAGCTCTGCTCTGACTCTCAAATGCTTCTACCCCCAAAAGCCTTGTTGGTCTCTCAGATGCCACCGGACTTGAATCGAGCTGTTCTACTGCTAACCAACACAGCCATCCTCTGAAACCTTGATTTCTAAGTGCAGCATGTCACTGGAACACAATTCCAACAAAAAGGGAACACCTAGAGAAGGGCGATGTGCAGACATAGGGCGGTGTGGAGAGATGGAATGTTTGGGAGGTTGATGGGCAGAAAACGGACAGGGAGGCGGTTGGAGGTCGGAGAGTGAGTGAGGAGGTTGGGAGCGGTGGGAGGCTAACAGCCATTGGGAACTGACACATTTTTGGGAAGAATCCCAGAGAGCGGTTTAATTGTTGGAACTTTTGGAACGTGTATCTGATTAAGGTTGTGCTGGAGGAAAATGAGAGATGTCATAGTAAAGCCGTTTTATTCTTATAATCAACGGAGTCCAGTCACTAATTTCCGCCAGTTTTAAGAGCCTTGGAGTGAACCAAGAGAGTTTCTCTCACCGGCCTTGAGTCGAGCTTTTCGACTGCTAACCAACACAGCCATCCTCTGAAACCTTGATTTCTAAGTGCAGCATGTCACTGGAACACAATTCCAACAAAACCTACCTTGTAGCAATTACCAGTTCAGTGACCTACAATAATGCAAGGGGGGATGGGCTACTGGCAGACTAGAAGCTGGATAAAACCCCAGAGGCAAATCGTATGTGCTCCCCCACCCTCCAGGCCCAATCAAACGATTAAGCAGGGTACTATATGATTGTTGGCAGCAGTTTCAATCACAAGGCGAAGAAAACAGCTGGGACGGGGTGTCGAACTCATTTGTTATGAGGGCCGGATCCGGCATAAATGAGACCTTGTTGGGCCGGGCCATGTGTGAATAAAATGTAATGCCAGGTAGCAGAGATATAAACTTTATAAAGGAAACAAAGGGGTTTTTTTTACTTAAAATAAAAATCATGCTTAAAACATGAGCACTCTTGCAATATTCTGTTTATTTGTCTGATAACTGACACCTCTTGCTCTGAATTATTGCATCAAAATGTCTGTGCTGTTGCAATCTTGAGTATGCTGTTCAGGTGTGTATCTGTAAGCTGCAAACCTACAATGACGCAGCAGCAGAAGAACTGGAAGAAGAGGCAGAAGACAACCAGTTCCACTGCGGGCCTGATAGACCGGGCCGCATGTTTGACACCCCAGAGCTAGGATATCTCAACATGTACTGAGAACGGAAGGTAGGACATCTCAGTGTGAAGGCTAGGAGATCTCAGCATTTGAATATGATGACAGAAAGTCCAATTATGCTTCATCCCTGCTGCCAGGAAGCAAGACCTGAAACTATCAAGTATAGGATCAGTACCATGGACAGTGGAAAGGTTGCCCAGTTGATCATCCACAAGTGGAAAATAATTACTGGAAACAATAACTTATTTTAGAGTGGGATGTTAAATCAGGCTGCATCACTTTGAAGAACACATGGGTAATATACTGCAAGGGTGCATCTATTGCAGTGGACTATCATCTGGCTTGCTCTTGACTAATAAAAATTCCTAGGAACCTAGAAGGTTGAGCAGCTAAAACACAGAACATACATCTGTTTATTACAAACAGCTCAAAACCGACAGATTAAAACCAACATACATACAATGCAGATAAAAACACCGAGGTAGTGGGTATCACATTACATCCACCGAGACGTAGTATACAGTAGCAAGTGTAAAATAGTAAAAAGCCCAGTAGCACCTTTAAGACTCACAAACTTTATTGTAGCATAAGCTTTCGAGAAACACAGCTCTCTTCATCAGATGCTTCGTCAGAGTTATGTTTCTTGAAAGCTTATGCTACAATAAAGTTTGTGAGTCTTAAAGGTGCTACTGGGCTTTTTTACAGCAACAGACTAACATGGCTAATTCCTCTGGATCTAGTAACAAATGTAGTTTGAACATACAATAACTACTGGATCAAAATATTAGTTACACATCTAATAACCAAGGGGCCAAACGTGTTTTGGTCCAGAGGGCGTTCTTCAGTGGTCTAAATAATATCACACACTCAAAAATGTAAATATAAAATATCTGTTCCATGCCAAGCAGGTTGTATATGAATCACAGGAATAGTGTAGCTCCAAATAATAGTTATAAAGGCTCAATGTCAATCAGTCCTGCCTATATTGAGGAACCCACACCCATCAGAGGTGGTAACTTTGTACAACCATTCTGCCCTTGGCTGTTGCTCTATTCACAGGGTGTGTCCATCTGTAAACCCCCCCCCTTTGCTGTTTCCTAATAAAAATCACTATACATGTGTTAAACATTTCCTGCACAGAGACTCATCTTAATAAACTTGGAAGCGAAAAGACTGTGAGGTAAGCACTGTAAACACAGAAATATTTCTACAAAAGTACAAATCAGATGGTGGGATTTACGCATGAAAGGCAAGAGTACCACGGAGGGACAATCTCCTCCAAGCCCACTGTTGGACCCACCACGGCAACAGCAGCAAGGACAGCAAAAAGCTTCAGAGAAGCTTGGATGTCATGGCCCCCAACATCTCTTGCAGCTGTTCCGCTACCAACAGATAAGCGAAACACCATGGTCCACCTGAAACATGTGTTTCTTGTATTGCTTTAATCTTTTATAAACCACCTTGGCTATAATCAGACCACAAGGTGTATAAATCTTTACAATAAATAACAACACAGGTGCCTGGGTGCGCCATACTGCCCACCAACATCTCTCTTGGCATCCACCACGTGGGTGGGGCCAGGTCTTGCCCAGCAGGGCTTCTGATTGGCCACTGGGAATCCGATTGGCTGGACACAGTGAAATAACGTGGTTTCAGTAACAGCGACCGCCACAGTGCCGGGTTTTATTCTCTCACTCCTCTTCCCCAGTGCACTTTTAAATTTTTGTGGCTGCACCCTCCACCCTGTGTCAGAAGTCCAAAGGCACTTGCAGGCTCAAAAACGTTGGGGGACCCCTGGTATAACAATCACAAAGGTATCTCAGAACAGACAAGTAAGGCAAACAAAATGATCGGGTTTTTTTAAAGGAACAATTTGGCAGACCCTGCCACTCTTCCCAAACAAGTGAAAATGAAACATATAAAGACATAACCGTCATAATCCATCAGTGCAGATGAAATCTGGAGCCTGTGTGAATGTGTAGATCCATCGATTCAGAGGGTACATCAAACGGGGAACTCAGCATCCCCAGGTGCCCTGGACCCAGCGGCATGTACACAGACAGTTCTATTTATACTATTCGCAGTCAGAGATACGGGGCAGAAAATTGTCCATTTCCAAAGATTGTTTCATTAAATTAACAGTGATGAAGTGATGCCTTTGCTGATACAATATTAGAGAAGCTTGCCAATTTCAAAGTTTTTCGGATCATTATCCCCAGGAATTATCTCTGAGGGTACATGCACACTTTACCAATTTGTAAACCAGAAAAGGGGAATAAAATCACAAATACATATAAATATTCAATTTAATAATTAAGTTATGAATTCACCTGATTGGCTATGCAGATCAAATAAGGCAAAGATAAAATTTTCATTTACCTATCTCCTCTCATATGGTGGAAGGGAGATTGCAATCATCAATCTGATATGGAATTAACAAGTAATGGGAATGGTGAGGTGCCCCAGTCACTTCCATGGACAATAGTACAATCCTGTTGAAACATAGGAGCTGACAACCATGGCATGTCTTGGATTGTGCTAGGGGTGGGCACAAACCGGAAAAATGGGAGGTTTGTGGAGCCTCAGGGTTTTTCCAAATCACGAACCATGAACCTCCATGAACTTCTCTATTGCACAAACCAGTTCATGCTTCGGGAGGTTTATGGGATCTCTGGTCTTTATTGCATATTGTGGATATGTATGATTGCCTATATTTGTATATATCAGCCTATATGTTCTATATGTATTAGACCTCTGAGGAAGGCCTGCCTAGGCCGAAACGCGTTAGGTCTACTTCATTAGCCCTTGTATGTTTTTATATATATGTTTGTTTATGAGGTACGAATGGGCCCTTCTTTGCTATTTTAATTTGTGTGTAATAAATACATGTATATTTTTGTATGATTTTTAGAGTTGGCCCTCTTCTATCCTTAATTAACCTTTTTAGGTTCTGAATTCTAAGTTTTAGGTTCAGTTTTTTTCCCTTTTCCCTTTCTGTCCTTATAATTAGTGAGACAACAGCTTTCAGTGCCTTCCTTTAAAAAATGTAAAGGAAGTACATGTTATGCTGTCTTTAAACATTAGCAAGTGTTATTACAGTAAAATAATGTCTACATTATTTGAATTTGTTGGAATATAATATTTAAATCACATGATTATAGTTCCCCCCCCCTAATCAAATATTTCTGTTCAAGTACTTATTTCCCTTAGGACATGAAATTAACTAGTGGTACTCATTAAACTTTAAAGAAAATTTTGAAAATCTGAAAAAATGTGAATGCGTGATCTAAGTTATCATTTTGATTGTGATTTCTATTTTGGAAACAAAATCAGCATGCCAAATTAGATCAAACTCTATTTACAGTATTCACATTTTCCCAGAGTTTTTATTGCTCTGTCCAAGCCTTTGTGTGGCTTCCAGTTCCAGAATGTTTTCAGGAAAGGATCTTTATCAAACAGTGGTGCTAATAATACTAAGAAATCCTGAACATCATCTATTGGCAGTATGGTCCCCAAAGCCAAAACTGCAGCAGAATCAAACTTGCAAATATCTTTTCGAAAATTCTGCAGTCTTTTAAAGCATTTTTGGTGAGATCGTCCATTTGTCTTTACTGAGTCGATCCTGCAATTGAGAAATGGGCACAGCGGAAATCCCATCCTCCTCTAGGACAACACACGTTGCAAAAAACCCACCTCTTAGTGTCCAGTGATGGATTCCTTTTCAGCAAGGAGCCGATAAAGGTCTCCTTTACTTAATGTTAAAAGCCAGAACCGGCAGGGATTTCCACTTCTCGTTCCTGAGATGGATTAGGCAACAAATGGTCCTTGGTGCCAAATGAGCAGCGGGGAGCGAGTGGGCGTTCTCACTAGGCAGGAAGCCATTTCTGAAGCAATTGCTTTCGCTAGAATGTCATAACAACACTCAGGAGCGGAAGTCAAACGCAGGCACACAGCAGAGTGCCCACAACACAAGCAACGGGGAGATTGCGCCTGACAGCGCCACTGATTGACACCAGAGATCCAAATATTCAGTCAAGCTGTCTGAGAGAGAGCCCCACAGACCTAATCTGGTAATGGATACGTAAACCTGCAGCAGAGATACGAGAAATGCTTTATTTGTATTACGGAGCTTAACAAGGGCATTGTCGCACAACAGCTAAGGGCCTAAGCTATGAACAAAGAAGACACCTTTGCCGTAAACTTCCTAGAAGGCTTCAGGCTCACCACAATGAAGGACGCTCTCTGTAATATGGGCATAAATATACTGATTGACCTTGCAGAGAAATGTAGAGACATAGAGCTGGAAGGGATTTCAAGGGCCATCTAATCCAAACCCCTGTAAAATGCAGGAGATTCACAACTACCTTCTCCCCCCCCCCACTCCCCCAGTGACCTCTGCTCTATGCCCAGAGGAAGGTTAAAAAAAAAACAACCCCAAAACACCAGGATTCCTGGGCCAATATGGCCTGGAGAAAAGTTCCTTCCTGACAACAAAGTGCTGCTTGGCATTACCCAGAGCATATAATCAAGGGCCACAAGAAATACCATCAGAGAGCGGAGAGGGAGGAGAAGACAGAACCTTCTGTCCGGGGACATGAGATCTTTCTTCTGGGGTAGAGACACCTCCCCCAAGCCCAACTCCTAGAAGCAGGAATGAGTCTACTGCAAGGTAGAGTTCAAGGCAGTTGGGAGAGCCGGCGTGGTGTTGGACTAGGAACTGGGAGAGCCCAGGTTCAAATCCCCACTCTGCCATGGAAGCTTACTTGGGCCAGTCCGTCACTCTCAGCCTAACCTACCTCACGGGGTTGTTGTGAGGATAAAATGGAGAAATTATGTAAGCCACCTTAGTTCCCCGCTGGGGAGAAAACTGGAGTATAAATGAAGTAAATAAATAATATCAGCAGTTAATGGAGAAATCTGCCCCTTATTTCCACATCTGAAAATTCAGGCTTCCCTTCCCACAAACAAGCAAGGCTACATCACAGTTCCAAGACTCTCACCACTGGGTGGCTGTCTCACTAGCAGTGATTCATCTTGACCCTTCAAAATAGTCAACATAGTCTTGAATCTATTAATGCAACTGATACCACAGTTGGGACCTTTTCTCAGAGAAGATCGAACTTCTGAAATTCTCAGGCAAACGAAACCCTGCATGATTCAGATATACACAAATTGCCAAGATTTGCAGCTGAACAGAATAAGAGGGGTATGCCTGGCTATTCATGGGTAGCTCATTGAAGAGCAACTGTTTATATGTATGAAGGCCAAGATTCAGTCCCTGATACTGCTGGATTAATTAATCTAAAGAGCCAGTTTAAGCTACTGGCTAAGTGTGCGGACTCCAATCTGGGAAAACCAGGTTTGATTCCCCACTCCTCCACTTGCAGCTGCTGGATGACCTTAGGCAAGCCATAGTTCTGTCAGAGCTGTTCTCTCAAGGACAGTTCTGGAAAGAGCTCTCTCAGCCCCACCTACCTCACAGGGTGTCTGTTGTGGGGAGGGGAAGGGCAGGGTATAAATCCAGTCTCTTCTCTTCTTCTTCTACTCTGGAACAACAGCTACAATACTGAGTTATAAGCCAGGGAGTTCCCTGTACCAAGAGAGCTCTAGATCAGAGGTGTCAAACTCACTTGTTACAAGGGCCAGATCTGACATAAATGTCACCTTGTTGGGCCAGGCCATGTGTGCCACAAAATGTAATATGAGGTATCGGAGATATAAACTTTATAAAGATGATTTCAGATGCCGAATGGTAATAGCAGGCATGACTGGATGAGATGTGATATGCAGAGGGGTAGTAGAGGTAGAAATATCAGTATTGGTAATGAGACAGAAAACCTAGGTCTCAGTTTGGTATGGGAGGATTCCATCCAGGAGGATGCAAAGAATAAATGGAAATAAGTCCGAAGAAGTGAGCAGTGACTCATAAAAGCACATACGCTACCACAAATTTTGTTAGTCTTTAAGGTGGTACTGGACTCTTACTCATTCGACTATTATTAGAAACCACAACATTAAAAAAAACAGTGGTGGAACATTTTAACCTTCCAGGACATTCAGTTGCTGACCCAAGAGTAGCAGTTCTCTTACAAAGGAATTTCAAAGGTGAAGACAATGAAGCTGAAGACAATGCATCTTTCTGGACTGAATTGAGACCTAGGTTTCTTCTCTCATTACCAATGCCTGCTATTGTCATTTGGCATCTGAAATCACTTCATTATCCAAGATATAAGGACAGATGGACTTACATTCTAGCTATATCTGAAGAAGTGAGCAGTGACTCATGAAAACTCATGCACCACCACAAATTTTGTTAGTTGTCAAGGTGCTACTGGACTCTTGCTCTCTTCCACTAATAAAGAATGGAAGCTGTGTTGTTAGGTTTCTTCCCCCTGCATCTGTTAGAAATGGAAAGGGGGATCTCTCCAAATGACATGGGACTCCATCTCTGTCTCTC